CCTGCAAGAAAACAAAAGCATTAAATTAAAAATACATCTGGTAATATAAGCAGAGATTACTCCAGTACGTCTGTGTAGCATTATTGACACGTATAGCATACCTTGAACGGTTTGTTGTGGTTTCAGATTTGATATTTCACGTGTGCGATAATTATTTCTTACGTTTAATTTTATGGGGCACTCCACACGTGAAAAAGCGTTTTCACATGTTAAATCATATTTGACATTTTTGTAACAGATCGACTTCATTCCTGGTTTGTTTTGAATTCTATTCAGCCTTTGACACTTTCCAAATGTAAACATCTGTACAATGTACATCTGTTTATACAACCTGCATAATATCAGTCCTCGAATAGGGTTGTCAATTATGAAACTTTGGTGCTTCCCAATACATTTCAGTTACATCGAGCGGGCCCAGAAGCGAGCCCTAAGAACCGATTTATCTTGATCTATCTTAAAGGAAGGCCTTGGAAGTTATCTCGCTTCCAAGTGTGCAGTCACAAAGACGAGATGAACTTTGCAGATCAGCACTTCAAGAATACGACTAAACAAAGTCATAAATCTTCTCCCTGACAAACGTATTCATAATCTTAGAAATAACGACAATTTTAGACACATTTGGTTCTGTACCAATCGTTTTAAAAATAGCTATATACTGTAATAATAGTTAAGTCGTGCGATTATCTTGGGTTGCATATGTAAATATAAGGCATAAGGCTGCTGGCCTTGTTATTGCTCTGCCTCGTCCCCAGGCGCTAATAAAAAGATTTCACGCGAGTCACTATATGAAGGTTTGCATGAAGTAGTGCGTCACATTATAAGCGCGCAAGGGGGAATGGGATATGAGCGTCGATGCCTCAAGCCCTGCGCTTGCTCGTCGCGATGCACTACCTCATGTAAACCTTTCATATAGTGACTCGCATGAAATTTTTTTATTAGCGTCTGGGGACGAGGCAGCTGGATGTTGTTTAGTACAATTCATTACATGGTGGAGTGGTGGGATCTTTGATGAAACATAGCTCGTTCGTGAATAATATTTCTCTCTTGTCCGAATTGTCCATCGAATTTATCGACTACGAATGCGCAATCTTTCGCTTCTTCGTCCAACGCAAGCTGTGTAAACACGTAGCTACTCTCTTTCATTCCCCATAGTGTATAGAAGTGTGCTAACTTGAATGACCTCGTCTTCTTTAATTTAAACAGTTTTGTTGCTATTCGATATCTCTCAAAACATCGTTTCCAATCTGGCCAGCAAGTAACAGCTTTTGTAAAATCGAGTGGGTCGGGTGGTTTTATTACACTCATCTTTGCTTCAGAACATCAGATTTATTACAAATGACTATTGGGATGACTTCTCAAGACCCTAACCTATTATAATTTTATATGACTGACGATTCTCTAGCATAGGATGGCTTGGATATTTTAGGATTCACTGCCACCATGTAATGAATTGTACTAAACAAAGATCTCAACACAGTGGCGAGTCAGCTGGAACTTACATACGAAACCTTTACGAGATGTTCGAATATTGTGATTTTGGCACAACGAAAGACGATTATATTCGCGATAGATTCGTAATCGGACTTAGCGCCAAGCCCGAAATGTACTTTTCTCCGACAAAATTTACAAATTAATATAAACATCGATATAACTGATCTCAAATGTACATCGCAACTGGAATTTTATCGGAATTTCATTATCATTAATATAATGGGTTTTTTTTATGTTACTCTGAGAGATCGGAAG